ACTTAGTTTGAAACACCTTGAAAAGGTTTTCAACAACCAATGACAACTGGTGAATTTCTTCCATACTGAAGCCCACTACCAAAGTTCCCTTCATTAGCGGTCCCTATGTACAGTTCAGCACTTGTAAAATAATTTCCAACAAAAAATATAAGATTCCCATCATTTGGGCTGCATGCTTGTGAGCTGCCTTTAGTCATCAGTAGCTGCTGGTTCTTCTTCGTCAATCTTTGGTGCAAGGTAGTATCTGCAAACAGAGATGACATCGGTCAAAGAGGAATGACAGAAAGGTGACAACAACATGCAATAACCACCCTGTAACAAATGATTCTTCCTCAAATCATTTCATCTCATTATAATTAGCTTTTGAGCAGGTAAAGGAAGACAATAAACTGGTTAAAGAACAGGACCAACTACCAAAATAGTAAAAAAGTGAAATTTTGACAACGCTAACAGCAATGAAGAAAGGAGTGTATTACTTTGCCTCTTCATAATACTTTCCTTTTGCTAAATCAAATGAAATATTCTTCCTTTGCAAACTTACTTGAGGTTGCCTAACTCTCCTACTTTGTAGTCAAGGACTAAGGGCACATCCTCTTTCAGGGACATTTTAACTGTGCTGGATAATGGAGTAGCCTGAACAAGACAAATGAAAAACCATTGAGGACAAAGTTGGTACTGCCATAGAGAGTAACAATTCAGTTTTGGCACATTTATCTTCACATCATATTATTTTGAAAATTATTCGATGAGAAGCATTATTCATACACCCAAAAGAAAATAACAAAGCCCTTAAGCCTGCATACATGCGTTAGAATGATTTGCTTGACAACTAGATCTTATTCAAGTTATCTGTTATCTACCAATGCTCCCAATACTAGAGAGAAACTGTGAGAGCAGACTGACTTGCCCAAGAACAAAACCAAATATCACTGGCCATAGTTTAAAACGGCACCATTAGATGTCTTAAATGCTTCATTGGATCTCCTATATAGCCTTTCATAATTCTCCACAAATATCTCAAGTTTTGGTTACCAAGAATTTTTAAGTATAATCTTAGTTTTTTCTGGCTGGTTGAACTTGTCTTCTTTCATGCTAAATGTACTTAAGTCTTGGAAAAAGCCATACCTATCATGGATGCATTCTGTCAAGAAAATCTTTTCTTACCTTGGTGAAAAAGTTTAAATATCTGAGAGCAAAAGTAAGTTCCACTGGTTCATTGAGCTGAATTTTAACCTGGAATCACAAAAAGTATAGTATTTATAGAAAATAAACTTGTTAAGTTACTTATACCAAGTGAGCTGGCATGAAATTAACGTGATTCATAACTGTCTCTGTACCAATTCCTACGTTTTTAATTACAAAGCACATCACTGAATGACTAAGTGGTAACCAACCTGATCCTCTTCAACATCAACAGTTGAGTTTTGTGAGAGAGTAACTTTTCCTTCACCGAGGTCCCCTTTGGCTGAGAACCTAACTCCTTCTTTAGTACAGTTTATTGTCACTGAATCACCAATCTGTGTCAGGTCTCGACATATTCTTTGGAATTCAGATGATGGCATTGTCACAACAGCATCATATTCCTGGTCCTAAACAAAAAGTTATCAAGTGTCACATACTGCACAACAAGTTTTCTTAAACCCAGTGGTCTCAATGACAATCAATACAAATGTCACAAACAGTCCATTTACACAGGTACCAGGTGCCAACTATCCCTTTCCACTTGGTGTCCAAAAATAAGCATGATGCCTTTGCCATCCTGTTAAAAGCTAAAATGCAGCTACTGTTATCCAAACATGTTCATAAGTTTTCTCAATAAGTTTTGATCAAAGGAATTATGGAATTTGAGGAAGCCCCTCCAGTATCCCAAGGTTAAGTTGCTTAAATATTCCTCTTTAAAACATATATCTTGTTGTAGTTTGCTGCTTTCACTAGGCAAGATGTACAAGAGTTGAAAAGGTCAACATTTATCAAATTGATTTCAAAGCATGAGAGAGAGAGTAAATAGATAAATAAGTTATTTACTGACTTCAGATTAATCAGTATTGTTAAAAACAGCAATCTCAGACTTAAGAATGCTTCTGTATCCACCTTTGCAAAACCTTGTCACAGTTTTTCACTTTCCCTAACCAGTAATAAGATATATCATAGCTTACGTACCGGTATTCCTAAATGCTCACTGTCAATATCCATAAGTCTCATTTTATATTCGCATTGCCGTTCACCATCTAAAAGAAATGAACACAAAGTAAGAACAGGATGTGTTAAATCACAGTTTGCTAATGGTTTCAAAGAATCTCATTTGGTACTATACTCTTGAGAAATACTCCTGGTCAGTGAAAGTTATCTGGAAAAGTTAAGCCTTGATTTGTTATGTAAACATCTTCCATTTCTACCCTTGTAACAATTGCCAGCTTTGATGAGCAAGTTTGCTAATCAAAAGGGTGTCTTTCTTTCCTACAGGAAGGGAGGTAGGGAGATTGAACAAATATTTTACTTCTGAAGACCACTTAAAAATTTTTTGTTGCCACATTTGGGTAAAATTGAGCTCAGAGCATTGAAATTTTTAAATAGTACTTACTTTGGCTATCAAACTGAAATGTCACCATGTCACCTCCTTCTTCAGCTTTAATTGTGATGCTGTCATCATTACTAGCACACTTCAGTATTTTGGAAAGATTAGCAGTTTCCATTCCAAGAATGACATTTCTATCACACCTATATGGCTCAAATCCATCAGCTTCTAATGATATTGAAACTAAACTGACGTGACTACTGTCCATGGCTTGAACATTAATGCCACTACTTGAACATTCCCAATTTGCATTTGGAACCAAATCTTTGATGGCTTCAAGAACCTTTTTGAAGACGTTTCCTTGACCAAGTTTAGCCTCAAACATTTTGCAGACAGACGATGACAGAAGTTAATGTGTAGAAGAATGATTGAAGTCTGAAACAATATAATGCATGATTAGACTGACCATCTGACAAATTCTTGTTTCCCTCATCTTTTAAACTAACCCTGGAGATCCAGTTGTTATAAAACTTTAAGTGATGACAGAACTTTAAATTTTGCATGCTGTAATTATTTATCTACGTTTATGATCAGTGATGAGCCCAGGAAGTTATATTTCAATACATCAAGTTGAAGATTGCCAGTTGAACGATTTTACTTAACACATAAATCTTCCACCCTATTTGCAAATCTACATTGCTATCAAGTTGCATTTAGTGTGTTGTATCATTCACTTGATCCAAAATTTAGCAAATTCGAAGCTTAATTATGCTTGAGCCATGAAAAAAATCAAATCCTCTACAATAAAAATAAATAAATAAGTTTAAATTGCTACGACGATGACTCCTCACGATATTTCTGCCATCAAACGAAAGTTCTATGCTTAACATTCTTTAACCCATCGAGGGTTCGAATTCGACCCATTAAAATGGCGGGAAAGGTAGCCATTATTCCCGCGCTCGATTTGAAGTAAATATTTTAGATGCGTTAGCAAAACCTTGGAGAGGATGTCTTAAATTGATCTTAATTGTAATCAAACGAAAGCTTGCCTTGGAAAGCTACTGGGCGAATGTTTGTGAAAATATCGCCCACAAACTCGAAGAAGCAAATGCACGCTGTTTGACACAATGTGGTTCGAATTCCAAACTTAACCTATCGTCTTTGACTTATTCCGTTTCCTCTATCCTCCAAATCTTCACATGCTGTAAATAATTGAATGATCGCGAATGAAATCGAAAATTAAGACGATTTCTTAGTTCGACAACAACATGGCCGCTTAAGCAGTTATCGCAGACTCTAGCGTCGATACGCATATCAAGCAAACTTAAATCACCCTATAGCAATCATGATCCGGTGAAAAATCGCGAATACTTAAACAAGCTTTTCCATGGGTAATCGTTAGCATTATTGATAAGTTTTCTTTATCGGAGAACACAAATGAGTACATAACATGTACCTTACCTGAACACACGACGATCGAAGACGAATTATGAATTACGCGCCAAGGTCTTGAATGAAAAAAAGTGCGGGAAATTCAATTATTGGTAAGTGATTGGTTCACGATAGCACGTGATCTATCACGGGGTATTTTTCGCGGGAAGCACGGTGACAAAGAATAGTGGGAAACGGGGCAAGTTTGAACATGACTTAAGAATTAAGAAAACGTAATCATACATCGTCGCGTCTATGCTTGCTCCTGACTTGTGTACAGTTTGCGCCTTCGCTGTTCTCAACTAAATGTTTTAATTTTTGGTGCATACTCTCAACTAAATATCTTAAATTTTAGTGTACACTGAATCTACATGACATGGAAAGCGCCATAGATCGATCGACGTCAGTTTGTAGATAGCCTTAAAAAAGCCCGCTCCGCAGACCGGGTTCTAATTCCGAAGTCACCATCAACAAGGAGACATATTTCAGCTGGCAATCCTCTTTCTGGCTTGGTACTTTCCAGATCCGTTGCCCATCCCCGGGTACCCACGGGGATCTGAGGAAGAACCTCGCTCTCAGGGTTCTCTCACTTTTTCTTAGGGAGCCCACAAACATCAAGTCTGCTCACGCACGTTTCACCGTATTGCTGTGATGTTCAGACTTTTGCAGTGGCAAGTTAATTTTGTCTGTGCCTCAAAAATAAATTTCTCGTCATCAGTTTCTTGTACGGTATTTATTTGAAACTTTACGATGATAATTGCAGCCCATCGCTAAGCGGAAACGAGAAAAGTTTCTCCGTAACCTTCTTTTTCACCTGCACTTCTACGATCATTCTGATTCCCGTGTCTCCCGGTTGCCAACTGGACACCTGAATGTTATCAAATTGCTTTGACTTAACATCCAATACAGGGAACTAAATAAGCCCAATGCCTCGTCTTTTATTGTAGAAATGTTTAGATAACAGCAGATTTCGTATTTCTATAGTTTAAAAATTAGATTATAATTACTTCAGTGAAAATTATCATCTAAGCGCATTTAATGGACAAATCTAATCTTCGTGCGATTCAACACATTTATTTCACAAAAATTTCGAAAGTGCGTGAAAGGCACGTGTAACAATGCACATGAGCAATGTTCCTTCGCCCACACAGAGTTCTTACAGGCCTTTCAGTTAGTTCCTGCGGTTTACATGTGGTAAACTTAACCTAACGTTTGCACTTTAAAGAATTGAAGGGGATTCGAAACTCAGGCCTCCTAGGAAATGCCCGAACAAAATTAATCACGGACGAACAGGACGGAGCTTATAGTTCTCATTTAAAAAAAACAACAAACAAATAGAAAAACACCAACAACAACGATAAGTTTGCAGGTGGACAGCGAAAGGTCAGAATAGTTTGTGGATGCTTTTCGCATAAAAATTCTACAACTGCAACTTGCAAAATTCGTTGGAACCCCTGGACCGACTTTTGTCATAAAAAAATCCGAGATCTTTGTTACACAGACAGCGAAAGTTCAGAATAGATTTTATACACTTTTCGCATAAGGAATTGACAAAATTCTTCAACGCAAACTTTACAAACTCCTTAGGATGCCTGGCTTTGGTTGAGCAAAAAAAAAAAAAAGAGATCTATGCTGTATAGACAGCGTAAGTTCAAGATACTTGTCGCATCCTTTCCAAATTCGGAATTGACAATATTCCTCAACAAAATATTATTTTCTCTGCTAAGACTTGCACAGTCCTCTTTTCTGTGCCCCACGACCGGCTTTTTCTTCAATGAGGCCATTTTTTTTTCTAACAGCTAAATGAGGAAGGAAGCTGTGGTCAGCTCTGCAAAGTTGCACTTGGTTTGCATTTTTCAATGGCAACTAAAAGATCACCCATTTCGATTGGCCGAAGATGTGGTTGGCCATTTTCATTCTGTACGCTGTCCCTGCGGTAAAAAAAGTAACAAAAAAAATTATAACTACAACAACAGAATGATCATAGGTTATTTTAAATCTGAGTGTAAACCAAAGTAGAAAGGTACCTAGAACTGAAAAATCATTCAATCTGTGCCTTCCACAATTAGAACATTCTAGAGATAGAAAATAATATTTTAAAAACAGGTGGTTAAATTATAATCACCTGTTTTTAATCCTATTTGCCCTTGTGTGTCGGCAATTGGTAACACAGACAAGGTTGGTACTCATGATTTTCTTTCCATTTTTAATACCGACATTTTCCATTTAAAAAAAACTGAGCAAAAAAAAAATGAAACTACAATGTACAAACAAAACACATGACTTACGACGATTGTGGGTTGTTCTTTTGTTTCACATAATCTCTCACACAAGACATAGCGGCAACTCGGCCTAAAAAAATAAAAATACAATTTAATGAATTTTTAACTCATTTGTCAATATTTAGTGAATAGAGGACTATTTCTGTGTTTCCATAGCCTCATTCAAACACAAGAGGGAGATTTGGTGGAAAAATTAGAAACAGTTCCACAAACCTTGATCTAAGCCTCAGGCTTGTATAATCTTTGAGAATTTTCCTAAAACCCTAAGTGTGTAAGTGAGGCTATGTAAACACAGAAAAAGCACACCATTGCTTTTGTTAAATGTTATTAAAAATTTTCATGAATCTAAAACATCACCTCTGTGCTCACACACTTATCTTAACACACCAAAAGACCAAAGAGAGTACCTAGTTCTTCTGTCAGTCATTTTTGTAAATAACCATAAAGTAGTGCAAATCAACCCTACTAACACTTGACTATCCCCCAGTGGGCAAGTCTATAATGGGGTCAGGGAGGAGGGCAGGGGTGACAGAGAACAGGTAAGGTGTATTATTTAATTCAGGACCATTACAAGAGGAGCCAGTGGACAAGATCTGAGTGAGACATGAGACCATAGGTCTTAGCCACATACATAGCACATATAAGAGCTTCTTTACTTCCAGCATTGCTATCTTATTTCTTCTCCCCACCTCTAATGCCTCACCCTAAGTCATGTTTTGGACCTACCATTCTCCCTCAAGCTGAAGAATATAACATCTATCTAAATTTCCAGTTTCTAAAAACATTTCCTCCTCATTCTTGCAGACTAAGGCCATATCTCCCTCTCTTGAATAAGGCAAACCAATCAATTTCCTCTCTAATACTAACTGTAGAACTTACATATTTCTTTCAAGCCACTCCCAGAGTATCCTTCCGTTAGTAAGGCTAATTCGTCATAATTAACATCATCCTTAAGCTGAAAAATTAACAATGAATAATGTGACTAAAGAAAGTTCTTCATGTATGTCATAAGATAGGAATAAAAGTTCATGATTGTACACATGGCATAAGGAAATTCCCATGACTCAGCTTTTCTCCTTTCATATTCTTCTATCTTCCAATAGCTACATCCAGCCAAACAAATGCTTCACCAAAAACTTTAGTGACCCAGAAGAACTTTGGGAAGAGAAAGTGATGGAAGATATTGATCTAAACCTGTTGATCTAAGCTACAAGTATGTCCAATCAAATTGTTCAAAAGATGTTACCAGCACTTAATATACAAGTCCAGCAGATAAGATTACCTTTTCTTTCTTGAGAATAATCTTTAATATATCTTTCCTCTGTTCTGCATCCTGAGAAGAGAACAAGTGTCATAAGTAAAAGTTTTTAACTTAAAGACAATATTCAAATTCTGCTTATGAAAGTACAGTAACAGTGAATGACTGACAGATTTGCTCCTTAAATTAATTTATAATGAAAATTTGAACAGCAATGCATAAATGTACTCAGACAAAATGAAACATATGTAAAACTCCAGCTTAATCCTACTTACTGGCAATCCAACACGAAAAGAACACGGCATCCTTCTCAAAATGGCTTTGTCAACATCTTGAGGTCTGTTAGTTGCACCCATGACGATAACTTGAGAGGTTGAATCAGTCATCAGTCCTGTAAAACACCCAAATTTGATTAAAATCAAACCTCCTCATACATCAAAAATTATTCAGACCAGGGATAAAATGTGTTAACAAATACTTAACCACATGTGACTACATCTGATCTTCATAACCTGATTAAGAGCAGCAGCAGGTAGTAAAAACATTATGGCCAACATGCACGATCAGAATGTTTACTTTACACCTTACAAATGCTTCATCATCAAACCACTCATATCATCATGATTATTATCAACTATATTGTAATATAAAATTGATTTCAGGTTAAATTTAACTTACTTTAATCCAATTTGTATTTCCTATGTCAGAGATTTGTACAAATAATCCCTAAACAAACAAAATACTAAGCAAACTGGGATGAACTCACTCTAACCTAAAATTTACTTTCAGCTTAAACCACCAAAACTCATAAGATAAATCATTTGAGCAAGATAAGAAAGTGGATGAGAAGTTTAGAGAAACAATTCTAATTAGATTGGATTGGGAATAACATGGTGAGCTCAAGATTACCATCCCACAGGCTCATAAACTGTGCCTTCATCATTGCTGTGGCCTCGTGATCACTCTTGTCACGCATCCTAAGAAAGGAGTCTGTTAAAAAAAATCAAATTATGGCCAAATTAGAGGCAACAATCAAGTTTCCATGCACCAAAAAGAGAACAGACATTGCTCCAAGCAGCCACTCTTTGGCTCCCCAAAGGGGGTTATTCATTAATCAAATGTAGTGTCGTCATTCAGACATAGAGAGACTATTCCTTCTTCATTGCCAAAGGCTAACTAAACTTTATTGATAAACACATTACACATATACAAGTATAAGAGTTTACTGACTTATAGTAATTTTACAGCATGCAGGTATTTCCAGTACAGTAGGATTACTGCGAGTAGTACATTTACTGAATTAAGTACAAAGTGCTCACCTTAGAACCCATACTAAGGTTATTGTCAATAATTAAGATAGGTACATGTATAATCAATACACTACATCAAACACTAATTTTTCAGAGCTGATATTAGAAGAAATATATGGCAGACAGTGAAGAGGATTACTAGTGAGATCTTGGGACTGAAAGGGTTTATTACTCAAGAGAATCTGAAATTCAGTTTCATTAGTGATACAAAGAGAAACTTATGACTGTACTCTTCCATAGCTTTTCTTTAATACAAATCTCTTACATCATACCTATCTCATCAATAAATATAATACAAGGTTGTAGTTTGACAGCCTGCAAATAAAGCCAAGGAGTGTATTAATCAAAACATTTTCCTTATAATCATGTGATGACCATAAAAATAGTGTTCTCCTTTTTAGGCGGTAACCAGTAAAATTTACTGACTGGTAGAGACTCTAACCACCAGTAATTATCACCTAAAATTTCTTGAAATTCTTGAAAATTCAACAGATAAAAGGATTGCCCTTTTGACTACCAGTTTGAAATTTATCTTACCAGTCATGCTTAAAATAAGAGAGAACACTGAAAAATGCCATACAATTTCTTCAAGTCATACACAAAAAAGGGTCAGCTGTTGCTTAAATGTATACTTTTCAGTGGGGATGAACATCACAGGTTAATTTTTTGGGGGTTTTTGTTGAGAAATTTATGATAAGATTTTTCTGGTTTGAAAACCTTAAAAGCAAGAATAAAATATTTGAACAACAACCTATGCAAGGTAATATTACCCCTTTGAGGTCTCGTCTCTTCACTTAGCTAGCAACTGGGCTCAAGCATTATCAGAGGGTAAATTTTTGTCTTCTACTGCATAATAAATTTCAGCTTGGTCAGCGAGCCAAGATGGCACTTTTTACAGAGGAAAGAACTGGAGGCAAGAATTTTCTTCCAGACTAAGCTTGTTCTTTTGACTGGTCCTATTGGAAAAACACCTAATTGCCTTACCAGTGAAAAGACAGCGGCAGCGAGTTTCTGTGATTCTCCATACCATTTGTCAGTCAAAGAGGACACTTGAAGGTTGATAAATCGACAACCTAAATTGAAACAAAACAATTCACTTTTAATTGATAAAAAACATTTTCAAAATACCTCATCTGCATGGATAACTACGTTACTCTGTAATCAAGGTTATTCAGACATTTTTAATTAAATCACAATATATTAATTAGAAATAAAGTTTAGTGTCTTACCTGCTTCTTTTGCAGTTGCCTTGGCTATCATTGTTTTTCCACATCCTGGAGGACCATGTAGTAAAACACCTACACAAAGAGAGAAGAAATCGCCCTTTAGTTTGAGTTTCCCTTAAATGTAATGTCTACAAAACAGTTTCCTACCTTGAATAGTACAAGGTGAAAAAAAACTTTTCTTAGCAAACACAATTACATGAAAATCATTGCTTTCATTTTACAACTAATAATAGATCACTTTCCATAGACACTTTATATACTAACACAGTGCCTTTTCCATACCTTTAGGAGCACTAAGAAGAGAAGAATTTTTGAAAATATCCTTTTGTTGTATTGGGAAAATAACTGATTCCTGTATGAAAATAAAATTGATACATAACACAACAGGTGAAGGATTGAAAAAACCTTTTTTGAGTGTACACAATAAATTGTTATTAGTTAATTAAGATTGTAAGAAAGCAGTGAAAGCAATGAAACAAAAAGAAACCATTTCAGACAAGACAATAGCAAAAGTCATTTGACAATACATTACTGATTAGAATGGTTACAATGTTGCTTAAACTTTTCACTTCTGTAGTTACTAAGCATATACTTCCTAGAATATATTAAAGACATTTTCAGTCAGGAAGGTGAGGATAAGAAAGAATAACAACGACAGAATGTAACAAGACCAATGTTTCAACACTCCTTAAAGTTGCTCAAAAAACTTTTCAGACTTTGGGGCATATTTTTGCCAAACCTAAGGATCCTGTCACAAAAGAAAAATGAACCAACACTATATATTCTATTCCGTGCAATGACTATGATAACAAGTATATGGGACAGACCAAATGTCAGTTTGGTACACATTTGAAAGAGCATCAAAAAGCGGTCTTCTTTTGCAAAAAAGAAAATTCAGCTTTATCGCAGCACACATGTCTAACCAACCATACAATTGGGTGCAATAAGTCTAAAATTATCACCACTAATCGGCATTACCACTAGCGCCTTTGTTTGGAAGCCTGGCATATCAACTCTGCTCATGCTCCTTTAAATTGTGATGATGGTGGCTTACTTCCCAATGCCTATTTACACCTTGTCAGAAAAAGGGGCAGCTAATTAGTGAGCGTATAAAAGGACCTCTTGTTGTAGCATTTAGATCACCCCTGATGAGGATGCTAGACAGGAGTGTCGAAACATTGGGTCTAGGAATTGTAACTTCTTGGTTACATTCATTAAATCTTTAAACCAGAGTAGTATCAAACCATTTCTGATTGTCCACTTGGTTGCCATGTGAACTTTAATATATAGTATTGTTTAATTCCACTCCAACTCCTTAGACTAAAGTTAAGAGAAAAGAATTGCAAGACAAGGAAAGACATTGTCTTTCAAATAATAGAAATGAAAGGGTTAAACCAGTAAGATAACATGTACAAGAATAATAATATACTGAAAAGGGTCGTCCAATCACTAACACCAAACCATTGTTCTTACCTTGATTTCCTCAATCGTTTCGTGAAGACCTCCAATGTCCTTCCACGTGATTGGTAGAATTAAAGGATCCACAATATCTGCTGCTACTGTGAGTTCATATTCACTTAACTATAGCAAATAGGAAATGCAATAATGATGTTATCACCTCTGGTTATAAAACTAAGGACATTTTTTTGTCACAGTAACAAGTCTATCACTGATTTCAAGAGTATCACTTACACCAACTTAACGTGACATGAAAATATGAACCATCAATTAAAAAATAATAATAATAACAACTCTCAAAAATATATAATTCAAAATTGTAGAATAAGTTCATTTTTTATAAAAGTTCTCAAAAATGTATCTAAACAGACACTGTGTGACAAAAGGTGAAACAAACCTGTCAGACAATGTTACCATTTTGTAGCAAAATAGGTGAAAGTTTGTCATACATGTACAAGGTTGATATTGATTAACATTACCTTTACCCCTTCAATACCAATTTTCTTTAAGAGCTTTTGAGCCTGAAAGAAAATAGTTTTTAAGTCAAGAGAAAATTTACAAAATATAGCTACAATGTACATGTACCTTGTCTTAGTGCAGCATATTTGCATTTTTCACATGAAAAGGGTCTCTCCATACAAAATGTCACATCAATGTGAGATACATTCTAATATGGACTGTATACCTTGGTGATGAACAACTGTCTTATATAGATAGAGGATAATTTTTTTGTAATTTTTTATTCCAAGATATCACATAAAAAGTAGAAAAAACTTTTGCACATGTTATCCACTTCAATCTTTCAGAAGTATATTTTATGCCACAACAAGAGGTGACTTGAAATTATTATTCTCCCAATAATGATATAAATTCTCATTAAGAGTAAAAGTCAAGATAAATAACTCTGGAAGATGGCAATTGATGAGAGATGAGAGATGAGAGCTAATAAGTACATATAGACTCAAGTGAGTCAGGTAGAGGGATCTTACACCAGTAGGTGAATCAAACTCTTGTATGTTGTCTCATTCCTGAGACAGAGATCCTGAAACGATGGTTACTGATAAGAGAAGCAGAGGGCTCAATGAAAAAGGTGGCATGAAAACTGGTCAGAACTCAATTTTATTACCTTAACCAAGCCACCCAAGGCCATGAAGTCTATGAGAGTTGAGTCATGTGAGTTAGCATTCTGCTGCGAGCGGAAATGGTGCTTTATGATAGTGCACACCGCAGATTACAAGCCTGAGCTCATCAGGACCGGCCTTAAAGTACACGTGGTTGTAAAGTTATTTTCTAAACTTAATTGATCGCTGTTTCCCAGAAGCTAGAAATCTAACCCAGGTGCATGAATTCGCTAGAAATTATTCCCAATATAATACAATCGACATGAAATCTTGCCATCAATAAATGAAAGACAAATTCCGAATCAAACGCTACGGTCACAAATTTTACACTAATTCGAGCACACATTTCATCACTTCAAAACAAAAGTATATCTACCGCCGGGTTCCTTGAATAAACCTTTGAAAAATCGATAACAACACTGATATTTACCGGCATTTAAGTGAACAATCATTACCTGCTTTTGCGCAGCTAAGCGGTTTTTTTTCGTGGGATCCATGGCGTCCATTAACCATTTAACACCGTAATACGTTACAGCACCAAGAATAAATGCTTGTATAACTGTAGCTAAGTACCTTGCTCGATTATCAGGCATAGTAAACTAAAAGTGAAAGTAAAAACTCAATACTACCTGTGAATCTCTTATGAATTTTTGTAAACTCCCTCGTTTGTCACAATGCAGCGGATTCCCTTCAAAGAGTATGCGCAGTATGTTTGCTTCAGTGCAACGCATCATGGTCTCGTCCTCTTCTATTTCTCTGTGATCAACACAGGTTTGTGTTAGGAGATTTGTGTCACAATCTTCTCAATCTCGCCCGAAACTTTGAATCATCGGTGTCTATCACATAATAAAATGATATCTTCATTATTCATGAACAGCACTATGCTGTTATTTTTCTTTTGATTTCCATAGTATGGCTCCAAGAAAGGGTCAAAAACAACAAGGTGGAGAACAGAACATCTCTCTTGGTCCTCAGGTACATGTTGTGTTCCAGAACACTTGGAGTTTTGTTTGGGATAAATTTTTTGAGCCATTTCTGTAGTCTTAAATTTTTTGAACGTTTGAATTTCAGGCCAGTGAAGGTGAAGATGTCTTCGCTGTAGCACACATCTTCGCTTCGTTCAACGATACTTTCGTGCACATTACTGATCTGTCTGGAAAGTGAGTCGTCTTTTCCGTTTGATCAAGTTTCTTCTTTCCAACCTGTTGTGGGACTTTTTTGCCATTTTTATCGTTGTTTTTATTTTTTCTCTTCCATTTGAATTGTTGAAGGAACATCGGTGATATCTGAAATGCAAGTAATAACTTATAAAAATAGTTTTATCGACGCACTTCGTTTTACACATTCAACCTGAGAGGCAGGTGGTGATGTTTATGAAATACGCTGATCACCAGATATAATTAGAAGGCTTTAAGCTTGCATTTCAGTAGAGCTAACAGAATAATAAAGCTACAGTCAAATTAATTCAATACGACTTCACTTGAGGCCTTCTTAGTTTAACCTGTAACCCTTTCACTCCTACAAGTGACCAAGACAGAATTTCTCCTTACAATATCAATACAATATCAAGCAGGTAGGTGATGAGAATAGAGAAAAATGTCAATCATGGGATTACTAGTTGATCCAATACCAAATTCTCTGAACCAACGTCATAAGAATTGTATGGCAGATAGTAAGGAGAATTACTAATAAGATCCTGGGAGTGAAAGGGTTAACTCCCAAGATCTGATTGTTAATTCTCCCATCCAGCTGCTATATATTTCCTTGTGAATTAGTTACTAGTGATGTTGGATCAAGACAACAACTTCTACTCACTAAGTTTGAATATTCTCATCACCTGTTTGCTGGATGATGTATAGATATTATATGGAGAAATAACTTGTTAATCACTTTTGGGAGAAAAAGGGTCAAGCACTGAGCTTTTAGCTAGGGAGGAATATAAAATCTGAAGCATCATTCAAGTTTAATTTCCATGACTCAGCAAATGAGCTTATATGAGGGTGTTTTTTTTTTTCCCACAGGCAATACTTTTGAATAAATCATGATATACCCCCTTACTCTATTAAGTTTGCAAATTGTAGATGTTAAAAATAGTTATTGTTTTTTATCAGAGAAACAGTTGTTAGAGTAACAGGAGGAATGAAAGTTAAGGCTGATCGTGATGAGGTAAGTATTGCATTGTATTCTTGTCTCCTGAAAGTGAAGGTTAGATCTTACACTTTGGACGAGATGACCTTAGTGAGTTGAATGCAGGCAATGATGTCTTTAATATACGCTGATGTCCAGTGATAAGAAACATGCTCTGAGCTTGCTTCATTCATGGTACATTTTGTTAGATGTTCTGTATGTGTGTGTATATATATATATATATATATATATAACAACTTTATTTAAATAACATATAACATACTATTATTAAAAAAAAGGGTTATAGAAGGGAGGAACTTAATCCTCATTGTAAACTATACCCCAGAGATAAAAATTTAATACTATGCAATATACATACACACACTGAAACATTTTACAAACAGGCATTTATCTATATAAATATAAAATCTAAGTAAAGAAGACATATCCAAGGCTGTGCTCTAGGAAAAATTTCAGGGTGCCCTTCGGGCACCTAGCCATGACAAGTAGGTCACCCAGCCTTCCAGGTTGGTCTCCCAAATTGATTAATTAATTAATTAATAATTAATTGATTAATTAATAATCCATGATGTTTTGAAAGAGTAGCGTTGTATACTTCTTACAGTTCCAGGGAATCTGCAGAATTGCCAAACAGTTTCATCTTTAATCTCTCTTGTTTAATATTCACTTCACTGGGCACAGGCGGCGAAGCGAGTTACTATGTTTAGCAGTCACATATTCTATTTTGGTGAACTTGTGATATCATGAAATCCTGTTATAAATTAACCACATACATGTTAAAACCGCTAAGAAAATTTCTTTGAAGACCACTAAAATAGGTTTCGAAACAAAAGGGTTCTTATATTAAAGTTTCATTTTCGTCAAATTTTGATCGAATGATTACAATTGCGAGTAAGTTGCCAAATATGATGCTGATAAACATCTTGCATGCCACAGACGAAGCTAATTAAATAAACACAAATTTGCATAAAGGACAGTTTCGTTTTATTAATCATGCGCTCCACTATTAAAACTGTTGAAACACAAAAATTAAATATAAGCATCAACCACTTCAATAGAAAAATTAGATCTTCAACACATGCTTGTGCAAAAATTGTGCAGTTTCTCACGGGCAAGGAAAAAAGAATTTTTCGTGCTAAATCATATGAAACAATATTACATAACACATGCGACAACTTTGAGCGTGAACAATTCTTGTTGTTGTCCTGCCAAATATTTTTTAGTTCTGCAAATGTCATCAAATTAGCAAATAAAATTATAAAATGTTAGTTACAATCAGAGGCTCACTTTATTGCGTCGTTCAATGGACAAGAAACCTGGGCCATGTACTATATTAATAAACCGGAAGAGAAACCACCGAAGCAAAACAAGACCCATGACCTAACTTAATATTTAACCTAAATGTACAGATCACACAGGCTATTGATTGCACTGCGCTTTCAGCACTTTTGCTTTTCGGGCTAACGGGAGCCAGGGAGCACGATGGAGTTTCTTTTTGTTTCGTTCCATTCCGTTTCTATACGTTTGCTGGTTTCGTTTCAGGTTTTCACACAAGCCGAAATCTATGCACCCGGACGGGCAACCACTTTTCTTTTGCAGTCACCCAAGTTGCCTGCCACTAGAGCACAGCCTTGATATCTAAGATAAAAATTTTGTTTAAAATTATAATTAAATGATGTACAATACATAGAATAATTTAATTTTGTAATTATAGGCCTTGTTAAGTAATGTTGATTTAAGAGCTTTCTTAAAAGCATTCATTGAGTCAAGTTCAACTACTGATGACGGTAAACTGTTCCATGTGTCGATATATCTGTGCCAAAAAGAGTACTTAAAGAGTACTTCTGTACAAGTGAGTATCTAAAATCTGGGACTCAAACCGCTTGAAAAATGTTGTAATGATACAGCTGTTCAGAATCTGATAAGTGTAGTGTTTTTGTGCTGTATTTTTTTAATTTATTTTTTTTTGTGAAGATTCTTGTTAAGGAGAATCTTCTCTCCTGATTGTTGTTATTATTGTATTTCTTTTTCAATGAATAGTTGCCCTTTTCAATGGAGCAATTCTATTTAAACAGTGACATAGTTATGCTTAAATATAGTGCCATAGGGTAACTATCTGCTTACAGAAATTTTTGAGTCCTAGATTTAGGATTTCCATACCTGTTATTCCATGTAACTAAACACTTTTTTTATGTTGCTTACATGGCAGTCAAAGTAATTGAGTCCCCTGGGCTGATTTATTTACTCAATGTATATCATCTGTTTCAGGCTTCCCCTTATGCTGCAATGTTGGCCGCGCAAGATGTGGCTGCTAGGTGCAAAGAGATTGGTATTACTGCTCTGCACATTAAGCTTAGGGCAACTGGAGGCAACAGGTTTGTGTGTTTCCTAGGTTATATCAAGCTATTATTTTGCAGTATGGTATTTGCAGTTTTGATATTTGCCTTTTGATATTGGCCTTTACCCAAATCTCTTAACAGTCCCCGTTGGGACAAGAAAATAATGCCTTGGGGATTTTGAAACCAAGAAAGTCATGTATAGAATGTTTCATGGAAACTCTATCTATATGGTATTTACACACAAGTTGGTAGTATTGGAAATTGAATGAATGAGTGCAGCTAACAAGTGAGATTTCTGATACAAACTGATAAGTGCGTAAATACCATACGGACAGACTTTCCATGGTGTATCGTATTTATTATATACATACAGAGATTCAATTCTTGTTTAATGACAATTTATTGTTTGGCAGATTCAAGGCAAAATCTCATAAATTGAAAGATGTTAACCATAAAAATTGCCTTTTCATCAGAAACAATGCAACACTACTGACAGCAAGTGAAAAATAACAAAATACTTCACTATGCTTGAAACAAAGCATCTTCAACTTGAGGGTTCATAATCTTCTCTGTCTTTTTGTTGATCCAAGCAAATGAACTTCTTGAGATGTATGCTAAATTTTCAGTTTTCTCCTGTTGCAAAAATTATTTGAACAGTTTCAAAGCTTGCTGCTTTGTTTTATCCTTTTTTCCCTTTTTTTCCTCCTTCTGCTTGCTTTGTATTCTGCATTATGTTCCACAGAGGAGTATTTGTCATCTTAGCCCAGATAGCGGATTATTGATAATATTCTGAACAGCTGAAAAATTAAATGATGCCAGTCTAAATGGAATTAGAATCACCTTGATATGTTTCATACATGAAAAACATGAAATGTGGCTCCTGATTAAACATATTGTTTTCCTCACACTTAAATGAAAGCTATACTTTGACCAGCTTTTGTACAAAATTTTATTTTGCCCCTTTTCATTGTGTAAATCTCCATAAGTAAATAATAAATAACCATGATGTATGTATGACTCTTGCTTCTATTTCAGAACAAAGACTCCTGGCCCTGGTGCCCAGTCTGCTCTGCGAGCTCTTGCTCGTTCCGGAATGAAGATCGGACGTATTGGTAAGATACAAAGCACTTTTACTGCTGTTCTCCATAATTTCCTTACTAGTGGGTTGACTAGAT